GACACTAGAAATCTAATTTATGTGAATGAACGGAATATATATTGAATAATGATTAATTTAAATTCGATTATATTCGATTCCATGTTTGTTATAGTTACACGTATCCACAATTTTTTCATTAGGAATTATATCAGAACCTATAACTTTTTAATAAATATTGGACAACTTCAAAAAAAAAAAAACGAATGTTCGTATACATGCAAATGCAAGCGGATAATTCCTAAACTATATTTCACTAGAAAAGTAATGAAAAGCTCTTGTTAAAAGAGTATGTTGGTTCCTTCTGTAACGTAGAAGCTTTTGCTATATAAAGGCCTTTGGCTTTCTTTCTCAAATCAAACTAAAACCAAAGAAAAACAAGATAACAAAAGAAAAAAACACCTTTCTTCTCTTCTTTGTTCTTCAATGGCAATGGCTAAAAAAGATAGGAATACAAGGTTCGCTGAAAAGGCTTTTGAAATGGTCGATAAAGTGAATGGTAAGTCTCAGAAAATAATCCCTAAACCATATGTTCCTAGAGACGAGTTCCCTTCTCAGTTTATCGACCATGCCAACCGTATTGAGAAGCCGAAAGAACGGGCTATTACTTGCGACGAGGCGGTCAAACTCTATGGAGGGGTGCTCATAAAAGAATTTCGTAATTAAGCGAGTAAAGCTCAACTTATGCTGAAGATGAATGGTGAGTTGTAAGAAAGTGTGATAGTTTTTATTTCTGCTTTCGGGAAAAGTGCAGACCAACACATATGCTAAAGCTTGTTGTAAAGGTTTTCACTTAGAATAAGCTTTAGATCACTAACAAGTGTTTGTGTCCGTTATGTATCTAGAAGTACTTTAAGTTGAATCTTATGTAATATAAAATGTTACGGTGTTACTACTATAGTAATGTAAAGCTATATGCTAATGTAAAATATGTGTTTAAAACTCTTTTTTTTTTGTCAACAGTTTAAAACTCTTTATAAGAAAAAAAATAAGCATGTATTAATAGCTTGGTTGCGTATTTCCCTCTCTATGCAACTAAAACGATTTCCACCCAGATTTTTTTTTGTTTTTTTTGGACAACCCACCCACACTTTTTATCTCTTCATTTTACTGCACGAACTATGTAAGTCGACAAAAAACTACACTAACTACTTTTTTCTTCGAAATTCACCAAATAAAATTGGTTAATCTTAAACTGTTGATGAAACCGTAACTATGGTTAAATAAACCGTAACTGGGCTTTG